TGAGTTCTTGCCACAGGGTAGAACAGTAAATAAGGAATATTACCTGCAAGTTATGCGCAATTTGCGCGAAGCAATCGGCCAGAAACGTCCGAATTCGTGGAAAAATAAAAATTGGCTTTTGCACCATGATAACGCCCCTTCTCACACATCGTTGCTTGTGCGCGAATTTTTGGCTAAAACCAACACAGTAACGATGCTACAGGCACCGTATTCCCCAGATCTGGCCCCCTGTGACTTTTTCTTGTTCCCAAAACTGAAGAGGCCCATGAAAGGACGGCGTTTTGCCACGATTGAGGAGATAAAGACGGCATCGAAGGATGAACTAAACAAGATCACAAAAAATGATTTTTTGAAATGCTTTGAGGATTGGAAAAAGCGTTGGCACAAGTGCATTATATCCGAGGGGGATTACTTTGAAGGAGATAAAATAAAAATTGATGAATAAATAAATATTTTTTGAGAAAAATAAAAATTCACCTTACTTTTTGATCACACCTCGTACTCAAAAATATGTTAGATATCTATTGACAATATGATTAATATGTGCGTACTGTATTAGTTCGTATCAGCGCTTATAAATGTTATTATCTAGATCATCGACACCACGCCGATCAAGATCACCGACCGAGAAAGCTGAGTACTATCAAGACTTTGGAGGAAGCGAAAAAAGTCGTATGTAGAGCCTGCGTCCAAAAAATCAATCCTCCCTAATTCAAACGATTTTGTGGCTACACATTCAAGTGGTTTTTCTCTCGCAAGAGTAATTTCTTCAAAAAGTGCTTTGGTGCCAGAGAACGACTGTTCTCAAGTACGTAATACCTGCATCAACACATCTACTGTAGATCCTAGATTTCAGCAAATGCCATCTCGTTTTGAAGCTAGACAATCCGATGACGATGATGATTTTGAAAGCACTAGAAACTCAAGGTCAAGACGTGGATCAGACGTGGATCAAACATCATCGCCACCACCACGTCGATCAAGATCATCGACACCACGCCAAACAAGATCATCGATACCACGTCGATCAAGATTATCGACACCACGCCGATCAAGATCACCGACACCACGTCGATCAAGTTTACCGACACCACGTCGATCAAGATCATCGACACCACGCCGATCAAGATCACCGACACCACGTCGATCAAGATTACCGACACCACGTCGATCAAGATTATCGACATTACGCCGATCAAGATCACCGACACCGCGTCGATCAAGATTACCGACACCACGTCGATCAAGATCATCGACACCACGCCGATCAAGATCACCGACACCACGTCGATCAAGTTTACCGACACCACGTCGATCAAGATCATCGACACCACGACGATCAAGATCACCGACACCATATGGATCAAGATCCAGTTCAGTGGAAGTAGAAGCTGATATTAGCGACTTATTAGATTAGGTGCCTGAAAATGTAAGAGGCAGATTGAATGAGGCGTTTGAAGGGCTCCAGGGCAAAATACAATCCTTGAAGAATAAACTAACAAAAAAAAACAAAAAAAAGGAAAAGAAACGTCTACGTTGAGGGTACGATAGTGGCTGAAAATATTTCACAGATTAAAATATTTTATATATTACAGATGAAATTATTATATTCAATAAAATATTTAAATAATAATATTTTTGACTTTTTAGAAACTGTTGATCCAGTAGTTGCTGATGAAGACGGAACTGTAGATTCAGACGGTCCTGACGACGTAGAGTTAGCCGAGGAACTCAAGCGGGTAGGAGAACCTACAGGCGACGCTGGAACTAAAATGGTAAGACGCAAGTCTATTTCATTTTCATGTTCTTGTGTACATATATATTCGTATGTATTTCAGGTTCACGTTGGGCTTGATAAAACCTACAGCCAGCCGTTGTGGGACTTGGCACAACGAAAATCTGCGTCGAAATATTTGAGGTTCTTGTTGAAGCGTTTATTTCAACCACATGAATTGGCAAATAAATGTATTTTCGAGATAAAAACAACGGTAGTAGTTAATGACAAAGAAAGACAAGAAATGTCCCGTCGAGAATTACGCATTATCAAAGGTTATAAAAATATTGTTATTCTACTAAAGTTAACTATGTTAATTGTTGCTTCCAATTAATATTATTCTTCTTACAGTTCTCTTAATGAAACGCTGCAACGCCATCGATCCTACTAGAGCTATGGCAGTGACTTGGAAAGGATTATACAAGCGACATATCGGCTACGCCATACAAGACGCACGAAGATGAAAAGAAAAACAATTTATTTGGTTTCTGCATTAAAGCTTATGAATATTAAAAGTGATATAAGTTCCAACTTAATACTATTGAATAATAAATTTGTAATTCGATTTTTCATTAAGAAAATAAAATGTAATGAGTTAAAATTGTGATTATTAGTATTATTGCATGTTGAAAATATTTATTCGAGGTATTATCAATGAAAATACGCTTTTATCAATAATTTTTTTTGGTACCGCATGCGGAATCCCATGTGGGATCCCATGTGAGATTGTGAAGAATTTATGAATTTTTTGGGATCCCATGTGGGATCCAATGTGGGAAATCCTATCAAATTCCCGGAAAGGATCCTACATGGGATTCTATGCGGGATCCCGCATAAGATCCCATGTAGGTTCCCATGTGGGATCCCATGTGGTATCCCATGTGGGAAATTCCAATAGGGTAGTCTCTCAAGTACGAAGTAAATATTTACGTGAAAAATATGCAGAAAATTTAGAAAATGAAAAAGGAGAAGAATCAGCAGATAACGAAAAAGAAGATATACCAGATTCAGAAGACGAAAATAATTAAAAAGTTACCATAACATTTATAAAAAGTTATGTTTTCAATTATTCTTCATTCAATTATTTCTTATAAAATTCAATTCAATTATTATTTAAGTTTCGTTTGAAGTATATTATTAAATTATTATTTAATATTCGTAAACATATAAAATCCACGGGTGATATAAAAAGTGTAATTATTAGAGATGTCACACTATTGATGATATCAACACTGTAATTTTTATATAGTTTTCGGAAAAATCTATTAACACTGAACATAGATTAAATACATAATACATGTCTGAATGAAAAATCAACAAAATCATACTTTAATACAAATTAAAAAATTATGATAGTAACGATATTTTTCCTTATAAATGGCATCATTTCGTTTTCATGGGCCAAATAATATGTTACAATGACGTTAATTGGTTAAAAATGACGGTATTTCTTTAATTAACGTCATTTTGCCTTCGTGGTCTAAACCCAATTGTAAAAAATGACGTTATTTTGTGGTAATAACGTTAGTTTTTTCTTCAAATTAACGTCATTCCGTTTTGCTGAGCTATAGCTATAAACATATATAGCTATAAACATATATAGCTATAGCTATGTTTATAAACATATAATAAAAATGACGTTATTTTTGGTGGCAATGACGTTAGTTCATAAAATGACGTCGTTACATTTATGGCCGCAAATGGTGTGGTAAAATAACGTTATTTGATTTTCAGGGCTAATAGGTTTAGTTTTAGTAAAAATGACATTATTTTTGATGGCAATAACCCAATTTTCTAAGAAAATAACGTTATTATACCTGCAGGTCTTTATGGTGTGGTCGAATGACGTCATTAAATGACGTCGTTTTTTGTTCCAAATTCTGACACGACTAATGACGTTATTCAATAACGTCATTTTATAACGTCTTTGAATTACGTTTTTTATTAACGTCATTATTTTCATAGGGGAACTGAACAATTTTGTCTAATAATCTCGTTTTTCTTTCAATGTCTAATACTATTTAATTTGGTTTATTTATAGTGAAATATGTGGGTTTGTGTATGAAGTTTCTGCCCCAAAGGAATTTGGCCAAGTCAAAATGTTCAAGCTGTTCAAATTTGCTTTGACGAATGAAAATAAAGATTTTTATTTGTATATGGGGAGATGAATTGATCAACCAATATGAAACAGAATTAAGAGCGAACAGAGTAAGTATTACATTTACCAAATCTATCATTTTAATTATAAATGAAGGTTGCAAGGTAAAATCATACATTATTATTATTTTGTAAAGATATTGAACATCACTGGAGGATCGACAAGAGCAGTAAAATGTTCTTTTACCAAGGACAATGAGGGCTTCGTACCTTATGAAATCGTAATTGTTAAAAGCACGAATGTAAAATAATTGGACTTCTACAATACAGTAACCGATGTTACTAGCAATCAAGTACTTGAAGTAGACTTCGATTCTATTGCTGATCATACATGTGGATTAGTATGTGAGTATTGGGTTATATATAACATATATATATTTTATTATCATACAATTCATTAAAAAAACTTATTTTATTATATTATTTAATTACAAAAGCTACAACATATAATTTGAAAACAAATAACTGAATTAACCTTATTAATATTAGAACAGTAATCTCTGGATATTTAAAGCAAACATTGAGAATGGTTGAAAGTCGTTATGGCAATATGAGCTACGGCAGCACAGCCATAACAAATGCATCTATTAAAATTAATATTGAAATAACTAATTACATTCCTACAAATATTGAACTTGGAAATTTTGTCAAGGTAATTAAAATAAGTTTTCTTTCAATAAAATAAATCTAATATATTTTCTAGGTAAGCTGACTACTATTACTTATAAAGATAAGAGTGGGATTATTCCGTATAAAAATATTCCAAGTATGTCAGTCGCAGAGATGTCTAAGGCTAGAAAATTCCCAAAACGTAAAAGTTCGCTTGAACTTTGAGTACTTGACTTTATTTATATAATGCTAAGTTTTTATTCCTTATAATATTTTCAAGATTCATGGTTATATATATTAATTCAAAGTTTAATAATGTTTAAAAAGTTTACTAATATAATTAGTCATTCAAGGTTTCTCTATAAATAAGAAAAGAAATAAGTCGGATTTCTTATATTACTCATCTTAAACGTTATATAAAAAAAAGACCACAGTTGATACGGCTATTAAAAGACTGAATTTAGATGCAGTTTAAACATTCTTGAATAGCTTCAGATTTTTTAAGTATTATAGTCTTAAGGTTTGATAGATCTGTATTGATATCTGTTGGATAGTTTAGATTTTTCAATGTTTTCCTATAAATAAACAATTATATATTAATAAGTTATTTATAAAAATGATAAGTATGATACGTATGAATTTGCAAGACTGTAGTATTTAGAAAAACCTAACAATTAATGTTCGTTGTAATTTTCAAATGACGCAAATTTAATATTTATTCATTTGAAAATAGTTAAGTTAATTAAAAAGATTAAAAAGAAAATATATGACAGTTTACATTTTTAACGACACACAGATTAAATTTATGTAAGGAATACAATACAAGAAAATTGTAGTGGTATAATGTATTTGTTACATGAAACATTGTCTTATGTATTAACTATCATTTCAACGTGGTAGCGATTCTCATATAGAGTACATTTGTGAATTATTGTCATAACATTTTTGTGAAAACATTTGATATTTGCACTGATCAAAAATTTTTTAACAAATATTTGTACGTACAGTTTGTTTTTTTAGTAAAAAGAAAGTTCCCTATCCTTATTTATCTATGAAAAAATTAATAATTATATCCTTTCCTTTTATTTACTGCATTTTGTTTATAAAATTAGAAAATCTATATTTATTTTATATTATCTATTTTCATATTTTTAAAGCGTAATATAAACAATAGTGATTTAATATAACATAAAATTGCTACTTTTTTAACAATTAATATTTCTTTTTAACTGATTTAAAACGAATAAAAACAATTGTGTTCATTGAATAAGATTGATTGATGCTAAATTGATTAAAGTATAAAGTGTGGCATAATTATATATTTATGTAACTAAGAACACGACAGCGCGCTACGCGCGCGCATAATCTCATTTCACTCCGAAAATTCGGATAAAATTAAATTAATTGTAACTGAATAATCCTCGTAAATTCAGGAAGTAATATATCACATAAAGAAATAATTATTGAAGAAGTATATATTAGTAGACACTGAAACTCGTAAACGATCTAAGTAGGTGTATGTTTTTAAATATAGTAAATATATTTATATAAACTTCTTATAGTACCCTGTTCTTCGATCAGATATGCTCACCTATACAATTCTGTGTATACATAGTTTTTAACTAATGAAGTCTCCCTCTGGTTTCCTAGATAAATTTTCAATGAATCCCACGATCTAACTCGGGACATAGCTACGTAAAGTTGTCCATGATTAAAAACATCTCTTCGAAGATCGATGCCAATTTTTTGTAAAGTTTGGCCTTGCGATTTATTTATGGTAATAGCAAAAGCCAACCGAATCGGAAATTGTCTTCTTTTGAAAGTGAATGGATATAGATTTTCACAATACAATGTAATTCTATTAAGAAAAATAATGTTATTGCGTTTGTCGTCCGTTAATATTTTACATTTTAGTAAATGATTAGAAAAATCTATTATTTGTAATCTTGTCCCATTACACAACCCTTCACTGAGACTTATATTTCTCACTAACATAACTATGCAAAATCGTCTTAAACGCAATATATGAGGAGGGAAGTTTGGTGGATTTAATGAATTAAGATACTCTGGTAAAAGAATATCTCCCATTTCACCATTATCACAATTCTCCGTGCTATCAATACCAGTATATATATGCTCACTGTTTTTATCCAATAAATTAGTAATTCTGTCATTCATGTCATCTACGTCAGCATTCCTGGTAGAAAGAATAGCACAATTACTTATTTCATCAAATTTTTTATTTGTGATAAGTGTACCAAAAATGTTTTGAACAATACATTCATTCCCGGGAAGTATGCAATGTTGTGGTAATTCTATATTGTTATCCTGATCATTTAATGTTCCATTTCCGACATCCAATAAATATTTAGCAAATTCAATTTCGTGCGGTAAAACTCTCATATTTGTGTGTAATTGGTATTTTACAAAATGTGTCCATAAATGACTGTTTTTTATAGATAAATTTAATATTTCATCACGTGTTCCTTTTACTTTAATTGGCAATAGCTGCCTGAAATCACCACCTAAAACCAGTATTTTGCCTCCGAACGGTAGATCATTATTCATGATATATTTCAAAGTTCTATTTACAATTTCCAAAGCATATCTCGGAGCCATTGGTGCCTCGTCCCAAATGAATACTTTAGTTTCTTTTAAAAGTATACCTTCCTTTGATTGTATTTTAATATTTGAAGACTAATCATTAAACATAGGAACTGGTAAACCAAAAGTTTTATGTACTGTTTTTCCGTTTGGCAACAAAGTAGCAGCAATACCAGTAAAAGCCATTGTAGAGCATTTGATGTTTTCTGACATTAAAAGATGATAAATGGTTGTGTAAAGAAAAGTTTTTCCAGAACCTCCTTGACCATCTATATAAAAGCTATTCGATGCAGTATAATTACTTGAACGTGAAGCAATAAGAACTTCATTAACTATTTGTTTTTGTTCTGGATTTAACATTTGATATTGTCGATTGCCAATTTCTAAGTGGTTATTATCTTCATCATGATTATTGTCGTGGACTATAGCATCCATAACATTCTGTTCCATTGTTGGAAAATCTGCTAAACTTCGTCCTTCTGTAATTAAAATATCATTAATTTCTGAGTAAGTCATTTGGTAACATATATGTAATTCATAGTTACGCGCGAAATCTTCCGACATTTGTTTTTTAAACATTTCCCACAGTTTTTCCGGATAAATTGGTTGACAGTGAATCAGTATACGAACGAATAACTGCCTCAAGCGTCTAGGCATCATCCAAGTTTCTGCTTCTTTCATAGCTTTGGCCCATTCATCATCATCTTCAATGATTCCTAATGCTAAACATGCTGCTGTGAAAGAAGGGTGTAATACATTATCAACTGTTTTTAAGTCATTGTAGCTCGTTACTCCTTTCACGTTTAACAATAACAATCTTAAATGAAATAATTCAAGTTGCATAGGACTTACAGAATACATACGACCAATGCAATTAAAATGACTCTTTCGAGGTGTCCATACAGATACTCATTGACCATCCACTTTTGATGTTTTATGCGTAAAATGTGTCGGGATTTCACGATAATAATATTGTTGTGCTTCGACGTGTGTAGAATTCAAAGTAAAATAATCAAGTAACATGCTACTTGAATTATTTAAATTGGCTAAAATTGAATTAGCATCTTCATTTTCTGTTATTATAACGAGTTGTTCATTAGGTAGATGTATTGGTAATCTTGAGACTGAATGACTTTTATCTTGTAGTTTTTTACTGAAAATGCGGTAGCATGCCTCCACAGGACCAACGTAACGTGTTTCAATAAAATTACGACATTCATCGTGTTCAATAACGTTCCCTAGTGAATCCACATGGAAATCCACATGGAATTCCACTCGGTCATGTGGAATTCCATGCGGAAAATCCACATGGCCAAGTGGAATTCCATGTGGATTTTCCATGTGGAATTCCGCATGGAAATCCACGTAGGTCGATGTTCCACATGGAAAAATAATTTTTTCAGTTCATTTTTCTGTAAATATAATAATGGTAAAATCATACTAATGAATAAGGTAAGTAAAATATTAATAATGTTGCTACTACATCTCTTTATTAATCTCTCTTTCTATACAGTGAAACGATCTCTAACTAAACTTATCATCAATGGGAGATAATTAAATATGTTTGGTATGCTTTTTGGCTATTCAAAATTTCACAGACACTTAAGAAATGATTACAGCTTTTAATTCAAATATTCTAATATTAGCTGTAGTCATAAGAGGAACAAATACATTACTACATACATTCTTAATGTATAGTTAAAAATTAGTGTCACGAGTAAACATTGTCATTGCCATGACATCGTGTTACAAAAAAGCTCTTTATAAAATGTTAAACTAAAAAAAAACGTAATTAGAATCTAGTAATCTTTCAGAGTATAAATAAGGTTAAACAGATTTGCTTTATCCTATATGGCTTAAACATTTTGTACAGCCACTTTCTCGAGATCTTTCTTTTCATCTTGAACGGCTTTTTTTATTTCATCGCTTATCGTACGATTTTTGGATTTTATCTTTTCCTTTGCTTCTTGAACAGGTTTATTCCTTTTCCAAAAATAGTAAATGGCGCATTCTGAAACAATGATTGAAAATATATTAATTAGGACAATTAAAATCGTTAAATGATAGAAATTATTATATAATTAACTCACTGTCCAAAGTTAACATTTCAAGTGGTGGAATTTTTTTCCTTTTATTTTTTCCTCTGGGAAAAAATAATAAAAATAATACATTGTTACCTTCGGCCAAACACAATTGAGCTCTCTCAGCCCGACTGGGGAAAAGCTCACGAAAGATGTTCAAAATAAACTTGCTAAAGTCTTTATGGAAAGCCTCGTACCATTTTGAATGATCCATAGAGAAATCATCATTCAAATATATTATTTGAACCTGTAAACAACAAAACGCAAATCTCCATAATATTTAAAGAACTATCATTATGATTTTATCATTATAATAAATAACATACTAAATTGCCACGAACATCTACTTTTTCTTTCTTTAAAAATTTGGTGAATCTGTTCCTTACATCCTTATAGTCATCATTACCTTTTATAGGTTGCAAAAGATTCTCATAAGCTTTATCAAATGAATGACTAGTACTTTCTGTGCTTACATCATTAGTTTCTTCACTACTTCTACATTGACCATTAGAAGGCTTATTAGAGTGTTTCTCCAAATCATCCTCACGATTTTTATTTCTAACACATTTATTCTTTGGTTTGTCGTTATTATCCTTGGCATTTCGTCTTTTCATAAATCTATGGTGGAATCTTAATAATTCTTTCTCGTTCCAGCTGACATTCAATTTATTCTGTTGTTGAGTATTTCTTTTCAAGGGAGACAAATTCTCAAATTCATTTGGAGCAGGTAAATGATTTTCAGAATCAAACCCTCCATCTTCATTTTGTAAAAGAGATTCTTCTTCAACATTATTCAAACTGTGTTGCTCTTCGATTTCTTTGTTTATTGGTGACAAATTTAGATCATCCTTATCGATCTTCTTTTGAAAGAGTGCTGTACGTGCTTTTGGTTTATGCTGTCTATGTATTCGATGATCATCTATAAAAAAATTATCACTGCTTATGTATAATTGATTTAAACACAAATTTAAATTTTATGGTTATTTATTAATTTATTACCTGGAACTTGTGTAGTAGTAGGAGTATTTGCTACACTTGGTATAATTTCTGGAATTTTTTCCTTAACGAATGAATTGGAAATTCCATTACGAACTGTACCATCTGTAATACAATATTGTAATGGTAATTTAGATTAATTCTTGCTTTATTTCACCTTGTCCGTACAAAAAGATTGTTACGTATGGGAGTTGAGGCCATAAGCTGATGTTCATTGACAGTCTAAAAAAATATTGTCAAATTATTAAATAATTTATTTGTAAATTATTGTAAAGATTTTTCTATAAAGTTTATATAAATATCGAAAGTCACAGTGATACATTTAGAAAAAGTGAAAGTACTAATATTATAAAGACAAACTTACTTGAATCATTGGCGAATGTTTTGCATTTTTTTCTTTGTCTTGCAACTGCCTTGTAAGAGAATTTATTCTTTGCTCCAAATGAAACTTATCAAACTAAAGATTTTCATTGATTTGTTTCAACATGTTATTCCTTTCTGACAACAATGAATTCCTTTCAACCAGAGCCTGTCGCTCTTCTTCAGATTTATTGAACGATTCTTGTAGAGATTTTAATTGTGTTTTTAAAAGTTGGACACTATTGTCTAATCTTTTGTCAAAAGTATTGCTCGATGAAAGTATCATCAGATCATTTGCTCGCAAACGCTTTTGTTGTCTTTGCTTCAGAATATCATTCAGAGCCTTCCTATCTGATTCCTGTATATGTAAGATCATGATTTAAGTAACAATTTCCAAATAAACAACTATTTTTAACGTAACTACTCACAAGCTTAAGCTTCTTCAATTCTTTTTCTTTTTCTTTTTCTTTGTTTTGTAATTTCCTTTTAGCAGCTGCTTGTGTTGTGTGGGTAGTACTTGAAGACTTTTTAGAATAATATTCGTCAACTGTAGTTCTATCTAGACGTTTGAAGTGACCTCTTTTCAAACTGTATTCTTCAAATTGAGTTTTATCCATACAATCTAGAACTGATAAAAGAAAATAATTTTTTTTCAACAATGAAATGCATAAAAGTTCTACAAATAACAAAATGATATATGATATGACTTAATGTACTTACCAGCTAGATCTGATATTTGTATTGGTTGAAGGGTAATTGAATTACCATTGGCACACATTAATTCATAAATGTGATCTTTATGAAAATCAGTATCATTTTGAGGATGGAAATCTTTAATCTTATCAACATGAACTGTCTGAACAGTTTTTAAACCAATAAATTTAACTTTAGCAAAAGTTGGTTTTTCCATGACTAGTATTTCTTCTAACTATTGTTAAATAACTATTTGTTAAAATTATAACGTAAAATTAACTTAATATACTAAAACGGTGAATAATATAATTTTACATTTTAGTGGTTAAGTGCAGGACAATTAGTCAAAGATATAAAATCGCAATAAGTAGGGCGGGAATGGGAAATAGCATTCCAAGAGCTTCTTTGTGATTGGCTGTTCCCATTACCGCTTCCGATATTTCGTTGTATCTGAATTAACATACTTATACCTCTTGACCATGCGGTATTCGGGTTTACTTTTCGCGCTCTAAATCGTGTAACTTTTTATATGATATTATTATTGTTTTAATTGACGTCTTCGTTCAGTCGATAATTTTGAAAACACTGAAAGCAAGACCTGTCGACTTTATGATGATTCCTAGTTAATTAAATCTGTGATATTTTATATAATTATACCGGCTATTGCCGTTTGTTAATAAAACATGAAGATCATTCCACGTAAATGTACTGGTATTTGGTTGCGAATGGTGCTTACACCCTGGACAAAGGATTCAGCACGACAAAGGATACGCGATGAAATATCCTTTATTGGATGAAGTGCCACCAAGAAGAACTGCAGAAGAAACAATACAACAAATGGAAGAGGCACTAAGCTTGAACCGGCCCGTAGCAGGAGTTAAGAAAGTTTCCCTTTTAATTGGATTAGAAGAGTTTGATATTATTGATGGATTCGTCCCAGACAATTTACACTTCGGTGATAAAGGGCTTGGAAGACAATTTCCTGGATACTGGTTTGGAACCACCGGATACCCTTATTCTCTTACAAAAGAAGAAAAGGAATTGATCGACGATTTCATAAAAAATCTTAAAGTGCCTACACACGTTACCCGTTTAACAAGATCGATTAAGGATATAAAGTTTTGAAAAGCTATTGAATGTCAAAATTTTATACTGTTCTACAGCGTTCCTGCACTGTCGCAGATACCACGCTTTAAAATATATCGTGATCATTAGGCATTGTACGTCGAGGCATATTGGATATTGATGCAAGACAAAATAACGTTACACGAACAAAGAAAAGCGCACGATCTTATAAAAAGATTTGTTGCAGAAACCGAGGAACTTTACGGAGCTGATGCCATGACGTATAATTTGCATCAGCTGTTACACCTAGTTCAAAGTGTCATTGACTGGGGACCCATACCGATGCATTCCGGTTATGTTTTTGAATCTGGTAATTTCAAAATTTTGCAAACCATCAAACGTGGCAAAGGTGTTTTGAATCAAGTATGTAGGAGCTTTTCCATCAATGGCAGCATTTAAAAACTCGAAAAGCATATAAAAAAGAATGAAGATTCGCCAGTCTTCATGTATCTCAAGCACTTGGATCGCATAAGCACACAGAATACGTACAAAGGTTTACTTGCTAGATATTTTGGAAAACCCATTGATCCCAATACTGCTGTAATTGAACAATTGGGCATTGTCAAACAAGATTCACTAGCCTTCAATAAAATAGTCAAGGAGCACTGTTTGTTCAAATCTTCTAATTTAGTATGCTACAGAAGTGATAATTCAATTGCTCAATTAAAGAGTGGCGGTTTTATAAAAATAATACAATTTATAGTCGATCTTAAAAATAATGAAGAGTACACAGTTTATCAACCAATACATACTGAAGATAATTCCATTTGCAGCGACTTGAATTCTATGAAACAACTTGTCTACATTGGTAACGATTACGAATACGTCAGAACCGAAGAAATTGACAAACTATGTGTTTTTATGAAAGTAGGAGAAGTAACTTTTATTACTAATCTGCCAAATATGTTTTATAAATAAAAAAAAAAACATAGAGTCTAATTTAGAAAGTTATCCAGTAGCTGAACTTGCGTTTGTTCATTACAGGCAATCAAAATTGAATAGATACTTTTTACGGAAAATATTCCAAGTGCACCCCGGTTAGACAAAAAGAGTCATATGAGGGCTCATTTTCTTCGTCAGGAAAAGCCCTATAAAAGTTACTTATTAATTTGTATCAAAAACTTTATTTATTTGTTATCACTTATACATTATGTTCTGCTTTTTATTCATTATTCTCGATCTTTATACAACTGTTACATCACAATTTATTTTTTAGATCTCTTAAACAAATGTTATATCACTTTATTTTAATTTACGATTTTTATGTAATAATTTTATAAAAGAACTATTATAATAAAAACAAGGAGTAGCAAAGTTATTATTTTATTTACCTTAATCATCATACCTATTATATTCAGAGAACTAAAAAAATTATTTTCCATGTGAAACATCGACCAACATTTTCCCCGTGGATTTCCATGCGAAATTCCACATTGATTGTAAAATCCACGTGGATTTCCATGCGGAATTCCACATGGAAAATCCACATGGAATTCCACATGGCCATGTGGATTTTCCGCATGGAATTCCACATGACCGAGTGGAATTCCATGTGGATTTCCATATGGATTTCCACATGAAAAATCCGCATAAAAATCCACATGGATTTTATCACTAGGGTTACCATTATCAGATTGTCCAATTACAACCGTTGCAGCATCGTGGCCTTTGTAGATGTATTTATACAAATATTTGACTGCAGTAATACTTGAGACAATCTCCACATTAATATGGCAATCGAACGTTAGTAACAACGTAGTACAATGTGGAACAACCCATATGTTTTTTTCGTTATCATGACTTCTACGATAATGTGGGAACCCATTTTCATCCATTGTAGTCTGTTCTTGAAATTCCTTTGGAAAATTTTTTGAGCATTTTCCGTCTTTCATACACCAATCACCACAGGGACCATGAATCATATTTCTCATAACTATGTGAAATAAACGTGGATCTCTTATTTCAATTGGTATTTCGGCTGATATGTATTTGTCCACTATTTCTGGCGTGGTAATTTTATACCCTTGTTCCAATATAATTAATAAATGCATATGCGGTAAACCTCGTTTTTGAAATTCAATAACATACACATATGAAGCGATTTTTCCAAAAAAATTTTTCTTTATAACAGTATCAAGTAAACGTTCTTTTTTTAAATCAAAAACTCTCGCAACTAAATCTGGTCGGTCTGAAGCTTGCTGACCTGGTAATAAATTTTCTGATTTTTCAGGCCAATTAGGATTACATGTCATCGTTAGAAAAATATCCGGTCTCATTGACAATAGCCATTGCATCTTGATAACATTGCTGCATATAGCGAGGTGAGCCGATGAATGTTGATGGTAGAATTACAGTTTTACCTACATGACCATTTATGTCATTTGCACAGTTTCGCATATGATCATGTAAACCTTGGTACGTATCAGCTCGTAATTCTTTTTGATGGTATTTATGTCATTGAATCCTCTCTCGTTCAATTTTGACATAACTATCTACTACCCATTGTTGATACAATCTACGTCCTCTAATAATAGGATTAAATTCATTGTCTCTGATAGCTATGCGGTATTTAGTATAATCCAAACGCGTAAGCCGAGCACGTCGCTGAGTATTTGTACGCTCCATGTCTTGATGCCAACCTTGTGAACCGTAGGGGTAAAATAACGGATAAATCCATGATTCTATATTAGGATCTAAAGAACTAACAATTTGTAATGATTTTGTGTTTTTATTTCTAATAGTTACATATGATTCTGGTATTTCTCCATCAGCAGTTGTCGAAAATATTGCAGCAACTTCATTGACGCGTTGAAAATTATATCTACGGCTGTCTTGACCAGGCATTAATGAAAATAATAATTGCAATTCTGGTTGCGCTGAATCACCGTGTATATCACTTATTAGTTGCTGCAATTGTATTTCTTCATTCATCATTGCGTAAGATTTGGCATAAATGTTATTATCACGAATGATACTATCCAAAACTATCATTAATTGATAATCTATAACATTATTTTGCTGCATTCTATAATTTAAAGCTTCATTTTGATCCATTATAAAAAGTTGTCCATATGACAGATTTTCGCCATCGCTAGGATATAGTGCTGTATTCATTTGATAATATATCTGACCTTGTATTTTAAAACAGTATGGTCCTGGTCTACGTGTTTGAAAATTTACTAAATTGGCATTAAATGAGCCAAATGATAAAGAACTATTATAACTACGTATATTTTCAAAAAATGTGGGTGACTTAATATGTTCCCCTTGGAATAATCTTGACAGTTCTGGTGGAAAATCTGGAAACGTATCTAATTGAACACATCCATGGCCGCAACAATCATTAAACGATAATCCTTTATTCGATACTTTTTCGTCTTTAAAATGCTTAGCTTTACAATGTTCATGTTTACATATAACATCCATTGGTCCTAAATAATCTGGTTCTACTGTTTGTTGTAAATTACGATTGATGTCAATAATATTTTGGCGAGCGACGTACTTGTCGTCGGCGACGTTGATTTTCAGTTTCTTGAAATCGTCTTTTTTTCTGTGCAACCGCTGTTTCCTCACCAGTAATCTTTTGACGACCCATAGTTATTTCTTGTTATAACAATTATTCAAATATTGGAAGAATAGACAATTAAAAGAAATCTCTTATTATACTATAAAATTTTCCTGAATTTTATACTTCACAACGGACTTTTCACTAACCGAATATTCAATAAAATTTGAATATTAGTCACTTCATTAAATCAACAAAAATACTTCTTCCTTAATTTTTGTAAAGGAATTTAAATGTTATCACAATAATTTTAATTAATTACGCGATGGTCGAATTTGTAAACTCTCCAGCGCTATAAACGTCCGTGTGTGCAAAATGGTTTTTTTTTTAATCCCTCCATCCGATGAAAGTTGATAAGTATCAAATGCAAATTTTTTTTTTTAAATCATTCAACACAGATCATAAGTAATAGAATTAAAAACTAAGAGAATAGATGCTTATTTAAATATTCAAACTTATAAGAACGATTTAAATAATTTCATTATCTAATGAATCGATTATAAGTTCATTAATTAGGTTGATTACATATTGGTTTCGGGCATATGTAGTTTTTGGTATTTTTAGTTTAGTTTGGTTGTGGTTTTTGCAGTTTCAATGAGGCTTGGTGGTTCAAGTTAAGTATACAGTTAGGTGATAAAAATCAATAATAAATGTATAAATAAAAATACTTTTGAAATAAAGTTAATTTATTGTCTTTCCAAAAATACTGAATAATTCAGTCGAGTAATGTAATTCGTAGAACTATAATGATATCTAGATTATAAACTGGAAAAATATATGTGCTTGTCGTTTAATCAATACCTGAAAAAAAATGAATAAGTCAATTCTCGTGTATTCACAATAGCAAAAATTAAACATGAAAAAAATTAATATTTTACTCACTATCGTTCAATTAACTGTGCTTCTAAGGCTGAAGTTATTACACAACCGTAAATAGAATCAAAATTCAAAGTAGACTTAAATCCCAGTAGTAAATAGATTCTGAAGCAGCAGAATAACTGAAACATTAATTATTACAAATTAATGAATAAACGAATCGTATATGAACACAACAGTTAAAAAAAGTATTGTAAAATATGAAATATACATATACTTACGTTTGTATTTACTATATGAATCTTAGATTTTAAATTCCAACTGACGTAAACAAATTGTAAAGCAGCAGAGTAGCTGAAACATGGAATGTTATATATTAATGAATAAATGAAGTTGTTTTTGGAAAATATTAAACATATATACTTACGTTTGTATTAACTCTCTCTATGATACTGATGTTTTTGTTAGATGATCATGTGCAATTATCAAATTATAAAAATTGAATGTACACATTTAAATTTGAATGTTGTTGCTATCATATTAATAAAATAATTTCTTGAATGTTTTAAAAAATTGCATTTATTTTACAAAGTTTTAAGAAAAATTAAGAAAGAAAGGTTATAATTTTCAAAATAACCCTGACGTATACCATAATAACACACATAATCATCTATACTGGCTGATAATTATTATTAAAAAAAATTAAATCTTTTTGCACTATATAACAATAAAGAAACGGCACTTACTTATCGATGTAGATATTATTAACAGAAAAATTCAATGGCTATGGAGTAGCATGTCGCGTGTTCACAAAGATGGAGTAAACAACGTTAAATGAGGTTAAGGTCACTGCTTGATGAATCATAATTTTGAATGATTGATAAACTGAATAGAAAAAAAAGAACCTTTTTTCAGAATTATATTGAGATTCTTAACAATCTTAAAAATATGATCCCGGTATACCAATATCAATAAATTTTTGTTTATAATAATTCATTGCCACAAAATTCAACTCGTTAATTTAAAACTTCTTAAAGGGACGATAACAAATATTTATTATCAGTAACTACTATCAAAAAATTTTTTTATTTGAGTTTTATTCCACTACACAACTCTAGTACAAAAAATGACATAAACAATAAATACAAAATTATATTTCCTTTAAATATCTTTACCTTATAAAAAAATATAATATGCAAATTATTGCATAATCGTTAAAAACGTATCTGAATCTACATTTGTACATCATATAAATATTAGGTTTACACATTATTATACATTTTTACAATGTTACAGTTACAATTTACAGTAGTTGTATATTTTATATACATTTAAAGCTAACTTTAATTTTTAACATTTGGCACATTAAAAAATCTTGAGAAGTTTTGTAGATCGTAGAGTATTTAAAGAAAAGGTTTGGAGCACTTTAACTAATTTATGATAAGAAAAATACTGAATGGTAATGATACCTAATTATAATGCTAATTTGTTATATGACATATTTGAAATTTACATTTAAATGAAAAAAATAAATAGTGAAAATAAATAATAATCATAACGCTAAATGAAAACTGGAATGATTTGAAGAAACATAAATTGAAAGCAGAACTATTCATGGCCACGTTTTGGAGTTTTCACACCAAGAGCCACTTGAGCAGCTGACATAACCGGAGCTCCAGGAACTGCGATGATTGAGTTTTCATCCCTGCATTTTATAGTGATTGGTCCAGCCCCTGAAAAGTATCAATTAAACGAATCACATTAAAATAGATACAGATTAAATGAATTTGAAAGTTTGAAATATAAATTCCATATTTTTATTATATTATAAGGTATTATGTATTATTATTTTGTTGGGTTATTTTATACATACCAGATGTATCAACTTCACCGATTACTATGACACGAACTCCTTTGCCAAAGGTTATACCGGTATAGTTGCTTATGTTCACACAGACCTTGGCATTTCCATCAGTAATGGCTCCGCAGCCACAAACTTCCTTTGTGTATTTGTTCTCAGTCTTCGCAAACTTGAACTTGATGTTGCCTTCGATGCCTGTTAAAAATTATTGAATTATTATATCGATTAAAAATGAAAAAATGACTAAATGTAAAAAATAAATACTCACGGACTAAGCCTTCACTTTTTCCTACATCTGCAAAAGTAACCTCTTGAATATTAATTTCCATATTTGCTTGGTTTGGATTGTAATCACCAATATGCTCCAAAATGGTAACATCTTTAATCAGCAACTCAAAGGGAACCAACTTTTTGGATTCCTTGAAGAAATTTGATGCTACAGACTTCACAGTTGCTTCTTCGACATGAAAAATCTGAATCGAAAAATATAAAATGTTTAGTAATTACAATAATTGAAAAAGACAGAAATCAATTCCATAGTACGTTTACCTTTCCAATGGTAATAGAAGCAACATGTCGATCAATCAGGGCTTTGCCCCATACCAAGCATTGGATTCTACTGCCATTAGCGTTCAAAGTAAATTTGAATAAATCAAATTTCTCTCTCGATCCTACTACTGCAGGAGCATGAACTTCATCAACGTAAGCAACAATCTCACTGAAAAAAAAACATTACCATTAATTAACTACCACTAATTGTAATAATTAAAAAAAATTCAGACCATCACTTACGCCATTCTATCTGTATCCCTAAGTTCTTTGAAATGCTCATTGGTAGTGAAAGGTAAAAGCTGTTCGCCCTCTCCACCACTTTCATTAGGATTACTATTCATATCGTCCTGATCCTGGAGAATGTTAGCTACGGCAGCAAGTCCAGCGTTTGGATTACCTCCACCTTGCTGACCATTGACTCAAGCACAAAGTCCAACGTTTGGATTACCTCCACCTTGCTGATCATTGACTCCAGCACGAAGTCCAACGTTTGGATTACCTCTACCTTGCTGACCATTGACTCCAGCACGAAGTCCAGCGTTGGGATTACCTCCGTCTTGCTGATAATCCATATTTTCCGTTGTCTAATACATGTACATAAAATTTGTAATTTATCTGAGAATAAAATCATTTAGTTTTTTTTCAATCTGATTGAATTCAAAATTTGTTTATCAAAATTTGTTTATAAAGTCATGTAAAAAATTAAATTTATACAATCACAACTTGAGTGCATTAAATAAACACATGTTCATCTTAAATATTTTATATCATCTTAAATATTTTTATACCAATAACTTTCAAGTGCAAAAATCAATATTTCTATAAATTGGTTTGTTTATTATGTAATATATATTATTTTTTTAAATAACGTGCGAATGCAGTGCGATAACATAGTTTAGATTTTTGTTAACTAACGTGTGAATGTGCGAAAAATAGTTGAGATGAACATGTGTTTATTTAATGCAATCACGTTGTTGTGATTTTAATTTTTCACGTGATTTTTGTACTTGAAAGTTATTGGTATAAAAATATTTAAGATGAACATGTGTTTATTTAATGCACTCAAGTTGTGATTGTATAAATTTAATTTTTTACGTGACTTTATAAACAAATTTTGAATTCAATCAGATTGGAAAAAACTAAAAAATGACACGCGGTCACCCTAACCTACCACAAAAAAGTTTAAAAAATAATTATATATTTAGTACAAAATTTTTGTTTTATACTCACCTTCAAGAGTCGCAATAACTTTTAAAATAAATATTTTAAAATTTTAAGCGACGATGTCGACGATTACAACTTAGAGCATATATACATGGAGGCACCCCGCTGTGTAAAAAAAGTGTGACCGTTTTTCAAGCTAGTGCGAGAGAGAAAGAGAATGTTATACCCTTTTCTGTCTCTTTCGCACTGTTCTCTGATTGGTTCTCGCTACTCCCACCTAGTTATAGGTTAACAGCTGTTTTAAACCCAACATAATGTAGTTTGCCGGTTCAAATCTTATAGAAAACTTTTTTATTTACATTTTTTTTATTAGAGAATAATAATAATAATAACTCGATAGGTATACGCATACGTCAAAACATTTTTATTATTCTTGCATATAAATAATTAAATAAAATTCTATAAAAA